TAGACAAAATATTTTCATTTAATTTATTCAATTATGTACTTGATATCTTTACATTTTCATAGCTTATTCATAGTAAATTGGATTTATATGTTTCTTATATCATTAAAAAGATAATAAAAGTAAATTTCTAAAAATATAATTTTTAATTTTAATATTAATTTTTTATTAAATAAAACCTAATAAATAGACTATGATTAAGGTGTGGAGTGTGTATTTGCTTGAATACATTCCTTACACTTATTTTATGTTTATTTATTTATTTTCTTTTTGTTAATTTCTGATTTCATTGCATACTACTAATTATAAGAAACTTTTAAATGAGGCCATCTTGTTATTTAGATTGAAGGGTGAATTTTACCTTTATATAATTGATGCATTTTCATAGAAATGGTGCTTCTAATGGTGTGTATGAATGTTAAATTTTCTTCTTATAGTTGATCTTACTTGGCTTTATTGAATAATCAATTCAAATAGATTTTTATCATTGATAAGTATTCTATATTTCTTTCTTATTAGTGTAAACAAAGAATTTCAATTTCTCAATTTATAAGATAATCTAAAATTTCATTATTGAGTTCAATGTTGATTTGCTCTTTATTTTTCATCAATCAGTGTTCATGTATAGTATATTTTAATTTAAAATTCTTTGAGGTTGTTTATTTTAATTTAGCTTTTTAAAAAGCTATTGTACATTCAACTTAGACTTGATTGAAACTTGTAGTAAGTTTTAGATTAGAAAGGGATTCATTGCCTTAATAGTTTCATATACCCCATATTTGGAAAGGCATTTCTTAGTGCTTGGTGATTATTTAATTTTAGAAATTTTTAAATACAGACTTTAAAGTTAGGTTTTCAGCGGTATAAAATTCAAAGCAATTGAACCAAAATTGAATTTGAGTAGATTTTTTAGAGTAGAAAGAAGTTACTACTTTAAACGGAATACAATTGAGATTAGTGATTTCTATCTCTTTAATCATTCATGTAGTAGATTTTATGGTATACTTTTAAATTTTTTATTTTAAAATTTATCTTAATTATTTGAAAGTATAATAAAAAATTTTAAAAAATAATACTAAAATAAAAATAAATAAAACAATAAAATTAAAAGATTATCATTATACTATATAACTACTTAATGAATTAATAAAAACTAAAATCAATAAATACTATTATTTATTTTTAACTTATATTTTAAATTTTATTTTTAGTTTTAGTTTTATTTTTTTTAGTCTTATTTTTATTTATTTTATTTATTTTTTATCTTTTCATCTATATATATATATATATATATATATATATATATTTTTTTTAATTTTTATTATTGAATTTATTTACTTATATTATTTTCTTATTTATATGCATAATAAGTAATATGTATTAATATAAGATTAATATATTTTTATTTACTGATTAATTTTTATATGCAATATTATTATTTTTAATCTTAAGTAATATTTTATTAATGTAATGTTAATATAATCATTATTTGGTGGTCTTATTGAAGTTGGTTGTTATTTTCAAAGTATAAAGAATAGAATTGAAGTACAACTTCAAACATAAATTTTAATCTTTGTAAATTCCAAACTTTAGCTGTTTAAATTATTTGAAATTTTAGACAAAACAAAGAAAGATCACGGTTTGGCAAAATTAAATGGATTCTAAACTTGAGCTCTTCAATTTTATTTGAAATTTTAGATAAGCAAGAAAAGAGCACATCTTGGCAAAATTAGGTGTGTTTATAATCTTAATTCTACAGTTTTATTTTAAATTTTAGGTTTACTTAGGAAAGATCATGACTTGGCAAAATTAGATGGATTTCAAACATTAGCTTTTCATTTCTATTTCAAATTTTAGATACACTTAGGAAGAAGCATGGTAGAACTTATTGTCCTAAAAATAATATCTTAACCATTCTATCACCTTGTAGTGTAATTGAATACTAATATATTTAATTATATATACTAGGAATTTCTCCAATCTACTTCTTTTGTTAAAAAAACTTGGTCATATTTGTGATAGGCACTTTCAATTTTTAGACATTGTGCGGAAAGGGAAGTCGAATTGATGGCCAGTATGACTTCTTTTTGATGTTGAATTTGTGCTTGAGGAAAGTGATGACCTCCATGATGCAAAGTTGATTGTTGCATATTATCTTACAAGTTGATTTTTATCCAATTTATTTGATTATTGAGATATCTATGTATTAAAATTATAAACTACTTGTACTACCTTAAGTCTTGTTTTTCAATCTCTAAATTATGAATAAAGTCCAACTAATGGATGACTCTATTGTCATATTATGTGTATTCTTCTTTGAGAATGTACCAAGCACCTAACTAAAGAAGGTAAGTAATAATACAACAATAATTCTAAGAAGTCTAATAGAACCTTAAATAAACTTCAAGTAATCCTTAATAATCCAATTAAACTATAACCTATCAAAATAATTTTTCACAAAATCACAAAAGAAATAAAAAAAATTCTAAAAAAAATATAAAAAAAATAGAAAAAATAATAATAATATTAATTAAAATCCTAATTAAATCTTAACCAAATTTTAGATCTAATTCTAATTAAAATCCTAATTATACCTTAATCAATTCTTAGGTCAAATCTTAATGAAATCTTCATGATATCTTCAATCCTTGACAAATCCTATACAAGTTTTAAACTAGATCCTAAGCAAATCCTAAACAAAAATCCTAATCAAAATCCAGATCTTAAACAAATTCTTTACAAACCCTATAGAAAAATGGAACCTCAATAACTAATGATGAAACCATTGATATCAACTCAAAATTTGCATACTTCTCAATGTCTTTGTTGAAAACAAGCATAAGAAAGTTGAAATCAATTGCACTTACTAATTGAGAGAAATGCAAGATAATCTAATCAAGTATTAAGCAAGCTCTTACTCTAACTTGAATACTAAATTTTTAATGCCAATATTTCTTTCTTGAACCATTGCACTACTTTTAAAATTTCACCTAAATGTTGGCAATCAAGTCTACTATACATACAAAAAAAATCTCTTCAATCTAATTGACAAATGCTGAAAATCATAGAAACACTCATTGACAAAAAACAAAAAACCGAAAAACCAAAAAACCAAAAAATAAATAAAACAAGAGAAAAAAGGATCTGGTGTCATATTACCTAAAGCCTTGCTTGAAGATGCATTAAGCACCTAGCAATAGAAAGTAGAAGGAGTATTGTAACAACAAGATTTTAACTATAATAGAAACTTAAATAACTCCAATTAAATCTTAACAATGCTAATCAAGTTTTAATCAAATCCAAAGAAACCTCAAAGAAATAACAAAAGAAGCATGAAGAAATCCTAAAGAAATTCAAAAGAATTATTAAAATAAAATCTAAAATATACCTTAAATAAATTTCAATCAAATCTTAATTTAATCTTAATTAAAATCCTAATATTTCTTACTTCAATCCTAAATTAAATCCTTATTAAATCCTAAACAATCCTAAGTCCTAAAAAAATCCTAAATCTTAACTATTTCTTAAATCTTAAATCAAATCCTTATCAAATTAACCTAATCCTAGGATAATTTAGAACCTCAATATCTATTGATCATATCATTGGTCTTACTTGAAAATTTACAAATCTTTCAACAACTAAGGTTGCAATAAGCACACAAAATTTGAAAAAAATCGAACTTACCAAATAAAAGATCAAACCTAAATTTTGCTTGGGTATTGGTTGGCCTCCTATTCCAATCTAAATGTTGAAATTCTAGTACCAATATCTCCTTCTTGAACCATTGAATTGCCTCTAAAATATATTTATATTTTGAAAAATCAAGTCTAGTTTCCATAAAAAAAAATTCACTTCAATCCAATCACCAAATTGCTAAAGATCTTAAAAATACTCACTGACCTTCAAATTCCAATTTTTGAGATTTCAACCCACAAAAACCTTCACACACTTTGATCTTACTATTTGATTGACTTCAAAATTTTTACACATACTGACAACTACAACACTAACATACTACCCAAAATCCACTTATACATACACTACAAAATACAAGAGACCCTCAATTTTGTAAACATAATTTTATTTTTTAAAACCTAATTCAACTAAAATCATTACTAACTTTGAAAATCTTCCAAAAACTGAATATTAATTTGATTGACATAAAAACCAATATTCAAAACTTTTTTTGTAAGTTTGCTCTCAAATCACATTCTTCGATCTACCAAAGAACCTTGGAGTTGCCATAGGTATGCGGTTTTGTACCTAATGGTCTGATTTTTATGTCTATATCAATTACTTATCTTAATTACTTTGATTTGAGGCATTTATGTCCTTATAAAGCAAATAGAAGCCCTTACTCTAAAAGGTAGTATTAAGACTAAACTATTTATTACCTTCCTATCCTTTATTCTTGTTTTTCTACCTCATCTTTCTATTAGGCTCTTCTATAATAATATCCATATTTTTATTTTTCACCATATAGTTGTATAACAACACCAAGCAATTGAATCCCTAGTAATAAAGAAGCTTCAACCATTCCAAGGCACCTTTTCATCCTTATTAATCATCTTTCTAGTTTTATATATTTTTTCTTTCTCCCTTCTCTTTTCATCCTTTTTTTTTTTTTTTTTTTTTTTTTTTCTTTACTTCTTTTTACTTCTTTTGATCTTTTTATTTTTTTATTTTTTATTTTATTTTATTAAACTATATATATATATATATTTATATATTTTAAAAAATATTAATAAAATCAAGATTTATTTATTTATTTTTTTTTTTTTGACACCAAGAGATATTCCTATCGGCCATCATCATATGTTAGATACATAAAAACATCTCTAAAATGGAAGTTTTTCTTAATAAATTCTACCTTGGATTCTGTATCTGGTATTAGCAAATTTATTTTCTATTTTTTCTAAAAATTCTACTATTAACTCACAAAATCTATGATTTTAAACACAATATATATATTTTTTATATAAAATACCTAAGTGAGTCGATTCAATGACTCACATAATTTTAAATGCCATAAAAAGATAATAACCTTCAACTAATGAAGTTTTTATATCAAAAATTTGTTGGTGGTCTTTTTTATCTAGATATATATATATATATATATATATATATATATATATCATTGTTCTAATATAAAGATTAAATTTACAATAATTTTATAATCATACAATAATTTTTAAGAAATTTATTTTACAACAATTAAAAAATTCTTATATAATTATAATTCATATTTGATTATATATTGTACTACTTGAATATAAATCTTAAATATTATATATATATATATATATATATATATATATATATAGATATATATATATATGTATCATAGCATAAGATAATATCATAGATGATTATAAATCTTATAGAAATTATAATATTATATTTTATTGACTTTTTTTTCTTTAAATTTATTTATTATTAATAATATATTATTAATTCAACCACAGAATTTGAATTATTTGAAGCATTCCTAATAATCAATAAAAATATTTGAGCTTGACTAATATTGGTTAGTTTTTAATGAATTTGTTTAAATATTTTTGTAATAACCAATTAACAACTTTGTTTGTCTTTTATTTAAGTTTTTATAATAGAAAAAAATAAATTAATATCTTCCATCATTGTATTTATTATTTTCAAGATTGGCTATATTTTGGTATTTTATGTAATTATTAATTTTTAATTCATTAGAAACTTTATTAAATTATAAATATTAAAGAAATATTTATTGATTTTTTTATTATTTTTTATATCTTTTAATACTTAAATAGTTCTATTAATAACTATTTAAAAATTAAATATAATTATTTTAAATTTTATATATTGTAAAAAATATATCTAAAATCAAACTTTTAGAATTTTTTCTCTCTGATTTATATTGTTGTATTAATAATGGTTGATTTCTTATTTTCATGACTATTATTATTAAAAAGAAATAATAAGCTTTGATATATTTTTCAAGATTCTTGGATAGTTCTTATGTGAGTTTAAATATTATATCTTCATAATGTATAATATATTCTTATTTATTTTGGTATTACTTTGAATCTAAGGCTTTCTTTTGCTTCAAATTTTTAGTTGTTATATATTGCATCAAAAGGTGGTAGGAATTATTTTTTTCTCAATATATTAATTTTTATATGAGGCTAAATAAAATATACTTCAAATACAAGATGGATCTTTATTATTTGTGGTAATTACAATTTATATATAAATAGATTAATTTAGTTTTAGAAAATTCATTTTTTTAGCTTTTAATAATCTATTTTTTTCAAAATCAATTGGTTTTAATATTACAACAAAGTAGTCATACATTATTGCCAATTTTTAATGTATTTTTTTTCTAAACACAACTCTATTAGTTTTTGATTGTTCTTATGTCTTCTTTAGTTGTATTTTAATTATTGCATGAAATTCTATTAATTTATAAATTAAATATTTTATTTTTAGATTTTAGATTTTTTAATAATCAAAAGTATTAAATTATAATAATGCCAAGGATATCATACAATATAAATGAAAAGTTCAAATATAGCTATTGCAATTAAAAATATAAGACATGATTTGCAACTTTTAAGATGTTGGTAATTCTTATTATAATCCAGTTATTAAATTCAATTTTGTATTTTTTTTTATTCTTTCAAAGAAGATGCATCTAAGAAGAATTGAATCTTCTCAAGAAGATGTGAAATTTTTTTCAATTTTATTCCACAAAAAATTGGTTAGTTTTTTAAATATGATTTGTGATTTTTAATATGCCCTTACAACCAAGATATGGTATAGGTTAGATTTTCTTCAAAGGATACCAAGCAAAAAAAAATGATTGACAATCTTTAGATTATACAATAGCTTAATTAAGATGTTGGTAGACATGGAATGAGTAGGATAATATTTAAACCCAATTTTATTGAAATTGATGAGTTGTCCAATAAATTGATAGCAAATATTGATATGCTTGGTAGAAGAGACGAACTTGGTAGTGTCAATCAAATCAATGTCAATTAATTACTACAATGTATTTTTATTGTTGTTTTAAGGATGTTAATTTAATAAAGGTCACTTCATCAATAATAGAGTTAGATTGCTTTAAAGGCAATGGTGGCCATAGCTATATATTTTACTTTAGTGCTTGACAAGGCAGTTGATCTTTAACAAGTTCATTCTCAATCAATAATGCCTTGTAATAAGAGGAAATAATATCCGAAGATAGATTGATGGTTGTTGACCTCTCCTACCTAGTCAACATCATCAAAACAAAATATGAAGTGTGAAAGTAACATATTTTGGCAATACTCAATATGAACATTGATTGATCTTTGTAAATATCAAAAAAATATGTTTTCAATCTTAAATGAGCCTTGATCTTGAGTTGTGCATATATTTTGCTAGTATGCTTATTGCAAAAGTAATGTTGGAGTAAGTACAAAGTGTGGCCCAGTTGAAAGAGCCAATTGCATTAGCACAAAAAAATAGAGATTTAATAGTTGTTGGCAAGAGCATAGCAAGCATGTCCACCATAGAATATAAGTATCGGATGTAATAGGGGTCAAAATAAGACAAGCATTACAAAAGCTAAATTCCAAAAATTTTTATATAAAATATAAAAATATGATGGTTTATTGTCAATCCTAGTATAAATTTTGTATGACCTTCAAATTCAAGATATGGTATCTATCTCTTAGATTCAAGAATAGAATTTGGAAGTAGAACTATATTTTTATGTGTTGAAAGAGGAAGAGGTTGTTACTTGGAATAAGTATATCATCTACATTTAGAATTAAGATAATAAAATCCAAGTCTAAAGTCATATAGTAGATATTGTCATTGACTATAGAGTTGACAAATCTAAAGGTGGTGAGGTAGGTGTGTATTACTTTAAATTATTTATAAGGTGATTATTTGAGCCAGGAAAGGGTCTTCTGGAGCCAACATATAAGCCTAGGATGTGGAAGATTGATACCTTCAAGGACATGTATGTATATTTTTTCTTAGAAGAATCTATTGAAGAATATTGTTTTAACATCCATTTGATGTATATATGAATTAAGCTTGATGATGAAGGCAAAAATAAGCTCAATGGATTATATCCAAACCATTAATTTTTTTTTTTGGAGTAATCAAATTCTAAAAATTGATTGAAGCCATGAGCCACTAAGCGAGTTTTGAAGCAGTTAATTTTTCCAAATCTTCTAAATTTAATCTTAAACAACCACTTTTATAGTATAGGCTAGTGGTTTGGTGGTAAAATAGTGAATTTATGTGTGTCATTTGCCACATTGAA